AATGGTGAGGAAAGAGCTGTGGGCCCAGGGCAGGAAGGCTCCTAGAACGAGTGCACAGGGTAACCTGCCTGCAGAGTTGAGGAGAGCAGGTCGTCTTCCGGCACGTCCATAGGTCTCTTCTCTCAGTCCCACGGAGAAGCACACACAAGCGAATTTAATAAAGGGAGCAAAGAAAGATGGTTCCTCATCATGACCATTTCTTCAGGAAGGGAAGAACAAGACCTAAATTCCCTGCATCCGGCCCCCATATCACATTCCTGTTACTCTGAAAACTGCATCTGATTTTTAATCTTCAGATAGATCAGAATTCACAAAGTGAATGCCTTACGAAGTGAATGCCCAGCCATCGCTGTTCCCTTTAGCCTATATAATCATGTTTTATTTCTAGTCTCTTGTTTTCTACTGCTAACATCTGCATGCAAACACAGTCTTAGCATTCTCAATCTCATCTGTTCCTGCTGCCTATTCTTCACCTGAAGCCACAATCCCCTGTTTGTCACATCATAATCACTCCCCCAGCAGAGCACTGTTGCTTCAAGAGGGGAATAAAGCAGCAGGAACAGATGAACTCTCTGTAACAAAGATCCTAATTCCTTCCAGTAAGGGACATCCTTCACCAAGCCTATTTGGCTCACCGAGTATACCTTCTCGGAGGCCCACAGAGTCATACATGAGTGCTAGAAAAGCATCCATGTAAAATCTGCTGCTTTGTCATAAGACAAGACCAAACATGGGAGGTAAGGTGGGGATAAAGTAAATGCCTCTCAGGTGTCACTCAAAATAACTGTTAGCTTCTACTCACAGGGCAACATTCACTGCAAGGAATAGAATACAGTGGTATCTCAGTACTCGTCGTTAATTCATTCTGATGAGTGGCAAGCAAATGCCAACTGATGAAGCATTTTTTTCTTGTCAAAATGCATTGAGTACTGGGTTTGACAAGTTCTGAAGTCTACGAGTACTGAGGTATGACTGTATGTCCAGAGCCATCCTTATTAAGCCAAAGTTAACAAGACAGCAGTTGTGGCCGTCACTAATGAAAGTCCTCTGACCTGGGGAAATGCCAACCCATGTAGGATGAATGGTTTATCTGCAGTCTTTGGTACACACAGTTTCGTGCTCTCCCTAACACTGCAAACAGTCTTGGTGTCTTCTCATTGTCATTATTTACCTTTCCTCCTTTGCCTTTTGTCCAAGGCTCTTCCTCAACAACCCCAAGGTGGAGGGGGAGTGAGAGGGAAAGGATGTACAAAACAGAGTCTCCTTAATCACTTGAGAGATGCAAATTGAAACAGCTCCATCAGTAGATAAAATACATTTTCTAATTCACTGATATAAAAATGGAACAACCCCTTAACAGCGGGGATAAGAATGATCGCAATGTTCATTGGTCATTTACTGTTTAAAAGGGGTTCTTTGCTCATCCATGCCTGGGAGAGGGCAGCAGGTTCTTCACTCTGACATTTTAAATGTTGGTCAATAAATATTAATTCTAAGTTAACTATTCTCGGAAAGAGCTTATATGTACCTATCTGGAAATTTTCAAGAAGGCTCCATGTTTGATTCAACTTTTACTTTTTAATCCCTAATGGTGCCAGCCCATAGCAAGAACTTAAAAGATATATATTTTCCTGCTGAACCAACAAGAGTGGCTAGTTGGCTTAGTGGGAACACAGTCAAGCCAATGAGCCCAACTAGCCGTCCTAGGAGCACATGGTGGCAGGAAGGTTCTGGTGAGAAGGAGCAGATGAATAAGTAAAATTCTATCACCACTTCAGGAAAAGTACCTTACTTACAAAGTAGCAGCACTTTCTACATATGTAAAGGGTAGCTACTGATTTTTAGCACAATCTGTACCTTTCTTTTAAATGTTTAATAAAAATAGCGTAACAGCCTTGAATGTATTTATTTTCAATATCAAGACAGGCAAGCGAGCACCTGCTAAGATGCACTAGAGATGGAGCTGCGTTCTCACTGGGATGAGCGTGGCAATAGGGGGCGTGGCCATGAGCACCTGGAGGGCACCGAGTGTTTATTGCTATCTTCACATTAACTCAGATAGTCTGGCATATGGGCAACACAGCAAATGAAAGTTAGTTCACAAGAATGTATAAATAATGAATAAAAGAATTAGAAGAACTCTAAGAAATTGCTAGAAGTTATCTCTATTCACTTGTTTGTAGCCTGTTTCCCTACTAGACCATAACTCCTCAAATGCAAGGACTTCTCGTGACTTATGTCTAGTGTCTACAGTAGTACCCGGCTCCCTATTTTACATTGAAATGGTACCTGATCCCATACCTTATTTTTGGAATAAATGAATGAATATAGGAATAAAATATATATTTTCAGTTGGAAAACCTAAAGTCATTTATTCACCTTTGACTTCTCTTAATATACCTACTTATAGATGTACAAAATGAATAGATTTACAAGAGGATAAATCTATGAGTGCATCCACATTGTCAAAGATAAGGGATCTGCTTCAGTTCTTTCTAGTAGTGCCTGGTTAAATCTTGTGCCATAGCAACTGCTTAGTACCTGGTTATGAATCAAGGAAATTTAAGAAATTATTAGGGTTAAGATAAAGGTAGTTTAGTTTATTTTTCTTTTCCATTGATAAAAGAGGTCACATAAAATATTTATTTTATAGAATGACATACAAGCACAATAGGTAGAAAATTTTAAATGAGATAAAAAATTTCAAAGGCATCATAATTCTTAAGAAGGGTTAGGTATAAGCAATAAGAATCCTTGCCTTCTGAAATGAGTTGAAATTAGAAGTCCAGAGAGGAAGGGAGAAAGGGACGAAAGAGAGATTGTATTTTTCCTTATAAAGGAATCAAAGTAAAACAAACATGTTTGCAATGTCTCTGCAACAAAATTCAAGATGTATACATGTAAACAAAGAAAACATAAGATCACATTAGTGGTCTATTTATATACCAATATTTAAAATGATGATCTATCTGAATTTACCTGGCACAGTACTTTCGATCTAATTAATCATTGTGAAGGCGTATTTCCAAGGTAAAAGGAAAACCTCAGAACAATATTTCACACAAGACTTTGGATTTTTGATGTTTTAATCGTAAGTAAACATGTATTAATTCAGAACTACATTAAAATGCTTATAGTGCATATACTAAATTATCAATTTTGTTGTACGCTGATGAGGAAATGCTTTAAAACAGGACTGAGGTTACATGGAGTCAGCTAAAACATCCTACAATTCATTTATGCTTTAAAGGTCAGTTAAGTATCACCTTTGGGCAGGCTTCAACAAAATAATTACCTGTAGATCCTATAGCACGCAGAGGAATAGATGGAACCCATGAGTGGTAATGGGACCGTAGGTGAGTGGTAATGACTCCCTGGCTATGTTTCTGCACTGCCTTTGTCAGCCATGGTCAAGCCAGTTTAATACACTCAGTTCCCAGCATCTAGGAAGTAGAAAACCTGGGACTAAGCTTAGATCACATGTAAGCCCTTGGTCTTCCATCCTCAAGAAGAAACCAGAGAAAAGCTAGGCTAAGCAAAGAAATGGTGTTGAGGGCTTGACTACACATATGCAGATGGTGCCAAGAGAGTAACACCAACCAGTCCTGAAAATATGACTGCCTAGTTGGTAGTTTAAAACAATAAAATGGATTAGGCTATGCTGTGCTATGCTGGCCTCCATCTGAGTGATCAATTTGACCAGATATTTCATAACACTCTAAGATCTCCATAGTTCTAAAACATCTCATGGCACGTCATGAGTCATCTATTACAACTGGTTCCAATCCATTATACATTCTATTTTTGATTAAATTCTAAAAGGCAATTTCTATCTAATTTACCCTCTTTCCATAGGCTGAACATTTCAATTGGCCTTCTTTATGAAAAAAACTTGCTGCTTTTACATAATGAAATTTAATTCAGTAATTTGAGGCCACTTTGCTAATTTATCAACTTTCTTTAACCCTAGCTAGAGAATATTTATATCTCCCACCTTCAAGTTATCAACAACCTTGTAACACATTCAACTCAATTCTCTAGTTTGTTAATAAAAATGCTGAATACTAAGACTTAAACCAGATTTCCTGCAGGACTACAGTCAACATCCTTCTCTGAGTTGAGGTAAAGCCATTCGTTTGACTTTCCTTGGCCAATTCTCTGTCCATTTTCAAATGAAAATTATGTAATCCAATATTCTTTTATTTTTTAACCTAAAAAAGCCACAGTAAGCAGACAAATATCTACATAGAACAGATGTGTACAATAACATGATTTGCATATAAAGGCACATGATTTGTGCCTTTATAAATTATCACCTCTAAAATGGAAGAAAGGAATTAATTCATCCTAGAGTGCTTTACAGCTTCTGTGATCAGTTATCACATGTATGCCCTTTGGGGCTTAATTTCTAGTGCATCAGAGATAGTGAAAGAAATAACGGTCTGCAAACAGATTCTAGGCTGGCACACAAACACAGGCATACATGTAAGATTTTTAAAAATCATACTAAATCTATGATGACAACTAATGTTTCACATAAAAGTAATAAAAGCTTGATATCTGGCTTTCAAGTAAAAGTACTACCTGATTCCATACACAAGACAAACCCACCAAACATGAATTTTTCCAACTATTTTTCTTTTTAATACATAAAGCATTTTACAGACAAAATTCCTTTTGCTTCTTTCTCTCATAAAGCCTAGATTATAGTTAATATCTCATGACACCAAAAGTAATATTATAACAGATATTAAAGCATTTTTTCAGCCACTTATTCTATAAAATATTAATTTCAAGCCTGTGCATGTGCTGTACATATAGGAAATTAGGTAACTGAGTTCCTGCTCAGTTCTAAATCAATAAAAGATAACATGTAGCGCATCAATCACCGCTCACTCTTCCTTTAGTACACAACAACTGCAAGGGGGAGATTTTGAAAATTATATATTTAAGCATTAATGGAGATATGACCAGCTAGAGAGGATGTCAGCAATACTTACCTAGGAAGGACAGGTTTTTCTCTAGAAGCAAGTCTCTCAGCTGGACTTCGTGCTCATAGCCGATAGCACTGTGGAGCGTTTGTTAAGGACGGTGACACACACAGAGCTATGAAAAGGTGCTATTAGGAAAACACTAATACCAGGTCTATACTTTGAGATGAAAAGGGACCTAAGATGTAATTATAGCAACTATTTCCAACTTTAGCCTATATCTGTGAGATTTCTATACAGCCCCTTCACTTTAAATGATTCAACGAAAGTTTTCTCTAATGTTTACATGCATTTTGGCAAACAAGGATTTGTAAATGTATGTATATGTAGTTTATCTTGTTTTGAAAAGAGCGACAGACATTTTAAACATCCTTGATGCTCTATTAAATATCTCTCAATTCAATTTAGCGCACATTTATTAAGCACCTACTAAGAGCAGCAAAAAATACCAAAAAGCCTTTACCCTAAAAGAGCTTCCATTCTTACTGAGTTCTGTAAGTCTTCTGGGAATTCATACTTGCACAGAGCTGGCCTTTAGCAGTTCCTGTATCACTTCCAGCCTACTGTTGGCAGTCTTCTGTGACTTGGGAAGCCAAACAACTGACTTGTTGAGAATTACATATAATGTGAAAGAAAGACTTCTTTGAAAGGACTGTAGGTTAGGGTATGTGTATAGGCTGTTTCAAGTCTTCTTCTCATGAGTGTGCAAGTCTACCCATATTATAATATGCATACAAACAGATACACACAGGCATTAACACATTTTTTGAGTGGTTACTATGAGGCAGACACCCTGATAAGTGCTCTCTATATGTTATTTCATCCTTATAGTTATCATCATTCTTATTTTACAGATGAGGAAACTGAGGCTTAGAAGGAATCTGCACAAGGTCATACGGTTAACATGCGGCAAAGCAGAGGATCAGATAAGATCTGTGCAATTCTGTATTTATGACCTCCATACAACTTCTAAAACGTATTAAACTTAATTATGTAAAAATAATTGACACTAGCTAATATTTCTTAAATGCCATATGCTAATCTTTTATGCTGTAAACACTTTGGGATACTACCATCTTATTTAATCTTCAGAATGACCACATAAGTAGGTAGTCCCATTTTTAGAGTTAGGAAAGCAAGGTTCAGGAAGGCTGAGGAACCTGCTGGTGGTCCTATGGATAGTAAATAATGAAACCAGGAATGAGGCCTGAAATTCTGGAGTGTTTTCCAAAAGGACAGGATTGTGCAAAGTCTGAAAAGGAGTGTTGTTTTATTCCAGTACTTTAATTCTGTCCAAAGCATTTGGTCTTAATGATCTAATTCTCCCACTGATAATGCCAACCTGGTCATATTGTTCCTTGGCTTACCAGAGACTTTCATTCTGATCGTGCTCTGCAAAAATTCAATTTAAATCAAATAAAGCTGATATATTATTTGTAAAAAAAAAAAAGAACCCTAGCAAATTATCCTATCTTTTATAAACACATACAGGTGAATACAGCTTAGAATTCCACAGATGTGGCCACTTAGGCCAGCTGTCAAAATGAGCCCTAAGTCATCATGAGTGCACTTCCCTCCTGCTTCCTCCCACCACTCCAACGCACATGCCTACGTTTATTTAATTTTTTTAATGGAAACAAAATAAAGGAAACTCATTTTTATATCACAAAATTTCACACATTTGCAGAGTCCATTGAAGACATTTGATGAATACCTCTCAATGATGTCTCATTACTAGAGGCATACCATATTTTAGAACTAAATTATTTACTTCTATTCCACATAAATGTGCTCTCACTTTTATTGTTGTAAATTATTTACATCTAAAATGTTGAATCATGAAACTGAGGTTACTGATGGTACAGAAATGAAACCCACAGCATTTTAAGCTTCCTGCATCATTATCTTTCCTTGCTTCTCTGCGTAGGTCTTTGTCTAATAGCTGTGTCCTAAAGTCACACTCTGGAAAGTTGAGGTGGCTGCTTTCTCACACCTTTTGTATCAGTGAATATATGACTTGTGGCAGGAAAAATATGGGTAGCCTGGCTATGTAAAAGACACAGAAAAAAACAGAAAGAACAATGACAATTTATAGTTTCTTTGCTACTGTGCTTTTTTGGTATCTTATTAGTAAATGACCAATTTACTGTATATTCTACTTGCACAAATGTCTAAGTGTAACATTTTCATAATGGAATAAAAAAGTTTTGTACCTATTCGATTTACTAAATGTGTGCTTTCTTTCTCACAAAATGATGTACTTTACTGAGGGTAAGTGCTGTAAACAGTACCAAATCATCAAAACAGCACAAAAATAGCATTTTCACCCACATGGAAATCCAGTAATTTTGATTCAGTATGAAATAAAATAATTCCTGTTGATCAGTCTAAGAGACATCTATGCAAGTGTATTTACATTATATAAAACTGCTACTACCTTAATGCAAAGATAAAAATCAGTTCTCTATAAACTTCCCAGCCTATTTTATTTTGCATGGTAAAAGCAATTACCAATTTAAAACTTTGGAAAAATCCACTTCTTGGTTTTTCTTTGCTTGATAAGCCATATTTAAAATAAAAAGGTCTAGAAAATAAAGCTTGTAAAAACAGTAATTTTACTGGCAATCGGCATAATAATCGAACTACAAAATTATAATCTAGTCAGTGAATGCAATTTATAGACATACATCATTATCTTTATCAATTGAAATCATGTACTACATTAAATTCTACTGGCAATAACACAGCAAAAAAAAAGGAAAGTGAATGATGGCAAAAATGTAAGGAAAATACTCCAAACAGAATTTATAATGCTCCATAAGCAGAAACACTTAGACTTTGTCTATAATAATACCTATTATTGATGTATGGCAGTGACCATGGGGCAAAACTTGTAAATAACCTCACAAGCCATTTTCTTCTCCAGCAATACAGCAATCTAGTTTCCCGTAAGCATCTCAACTATTACTGAAAAATAGCCTCCTGGCATTTACAAAGCAGTTGACTTCATACTTTAGTCCATGCATATATAATTAGATAGTTATATCTAAAATCAATATGCAATCCTTCAAAAGACATTATGCTTTTAAAACCTTAACTTTAAATTGATTTTTAACTATTTTATGTGCTTGAAAATTAACATGTAATTCCACCCCACATACTCTGAAATGGTGTTAGTTGTTACATGAATGTGCTAAACTTTATGGCTGTAGCAACTTCAGGTTGGCATTCCTACACCTTCTGACACTACCATTAATTTTACACTGAAGGCAGAAGTATAGTTTTACTTTGATCTAATAAAAAGGTGAGCTTATCACAATGTTGTGATTTTATTAGGTTAGGTTGGGGGGAACAGACTTGGAGAATAAATACAGCAGGGGCTATAATGTAGATAGAGACTATTCTTACAAGGGGGTTCTGTTAAAAGATTTTTTTTTTTAAGGTCAACCTCTATGAACAAAAATGAGTGATTTTTTTAACAAAAAGTTTACTGGCTCTAAGCCTTTGTGAAACAAGGTGAAATAACAAACACCCATGCACGGGGCGCACGTACACTTGACTAGCAAGGGCTTCCAAAAAAGCCTCCCAACTGGTCGCCAAGTCACAACTGGTCACAGTGCCACCCACACCAGCAAAATCTATACCAGGAAGGGCATGTTCTATTCAAGAAATGTGAGACTCATGGACTCAAATATATATATCTTTTTAAATTACTCCATAAGTAGCATTTTTAGCTAAGAATTATAATGAAATTCATAGTGTGGTCACAATATTACTAAATGTATTGATGAATACATTTACCTGTGTCATGAAGTCAATACTATCCACTCAAATCCTGTATTAAGAAGTAAGCATTAACTCTTTAGTAATCTCAAAATCTTTAATGAATGACTGGCCATGTTTTTACAGCCCTACATTCAGTCCTTAGGGACCCTGGCCAGGTAGCTCTGTTGGTTGGAGCATCATCCCACTGTGCCAAGGTTATGGGTTTGATCTCTGGTCAGGGCACATACAAGAAGCAACCAATGAATGCATCAATAAGTGGAACAACAAATCAACGGTTCTCTCTCTCTCTTTCTCTCCTTTTTCTTCTTCTCTCTCTCTTTCTCTAAAATCAATAATAAAAAGAATTTAGTCTAGAGGGAAAAAAATTAAGTTGGTTTCTCTAAAAATGTTTATTAAGGATCTAAATGACAACTCAGATTGTAATCAACATTTAAGCAATAAGAGTTTACTGCCCTTTAAAATGGGATGGTCTCTGGCAACATTTTAATCACATCATCCTTCAACTTCAGGCAAAATTTATTCTAGCAAACTCAACTGAATTCAGCTCATTTTAAATAGAAAATTTGTTCTATTTTTAAAAATGTTCATCGGAATGGTTAGATACATTCCAAGACAGTATGTTACCTGCCTAATGACTCTGTACCTTCAAACTCATTGAAAACCAGGCAGTTTGAAATAAGCATGTGAATGTGCAGCTGCTGAACTGACATCTTCCCGTGGCCTATCTGGTTTTTCTTAAGCTGCAGGAAAGAATGGTCTGCAGTGACCCTCCAGCTGATTGAATGTAAAATAGAAGAGTATGAAATGTGTTTTGTGAAGCAGAACTTTATGTCACGTTAAAGCTAGACACATCTCCTCCACTGACACTAAGCTCGTCAATTGCGCACCTAAAATTTTATGGGAAAGGATACTGTTTGATGCAGTCCACCAGCGGTCCATAACAGCAGTCGTTCACAATGCACTGCAGACAGATAAGAGGAGGGGTCTGTGGTGCAGAAACTACTGCAGTTAAACAGTATCCTAAAAGCTGTATCTGAAAATTTTTTCCTTAATTTTTTTAAAAAGCTATCAAAAGGCTTTTCAGATTTAATCACAGAAAACAGAAAGTGCACGGTTTTTATGCACTATAAAAGCAAGCTATTAAAAAGTGAAATGTTCTTCTCGCAAACATCGCATTGCCATTTATGGCGCACCCTGACCTCAGTGATAGTTTATGATGACAGTAATTAAATGAGGTTTAAAATCCTTTACTCTGCTAGGCAGATAACAGCATCACCACTGAAAATAGACAGCTGTGATTAATACCTGATAGACCTGATTTGCTAGAACTCCATCTGGAATCTGAGAAGGGTCCCGTAGCATACTATTTATAACAGACTTGGAGGCTGCAGAAGAAAAGAGATGAACCGTTAGCAGACAGTCAACATACTTTTAATGCAACATGAGAAGGGACATACACCTATGTACATACAAATGATGACAATGGAAACACGACTGATAATAATCATTTCCTTTTTATAAATCTATGAAAAGCTTTTAATTAGACCATTTTGCCAAGTTTGTGAGCCACATTGCCAGATTTGAAGATGATCTAATTTTTTCAAGGTAAATTAACAAGTACAGAACTAGCATATGTCTATTATCAGATAAATTAGCTTTGAAAAGCCCACTTGGGGGGAAAAAACACAACAAAGACAATCAGAAAAGAAAATATTTACCTTTTGCTGGTAAGTATTTTATAGCCATGTGTATATGGAGGGCTTAGTGAAGGCAGGTCAGATTCAAAGACTTCAACGATATAAATAAAAATAACTTTCAGCCAAGAAACCATCTCTGAAGTCTAGACCTTTCAAAAATAATTCTCATCAACTGCTAAACAATGTATGTCCATTTCACAGAAATATATGTAAAATGACTGACAATTGAGAGAAACTTAAGAACATATACAGGTCCTGCACAAATAACACCGCTTTTTAATTACAAAATATTTTATTACAAAATCATAAGCAGGTAATTCTATAACATAACAATATCAGACTCAAGCATACACATATATTTTTTAGATTTTATTTATTTATTTTTAGAGAGAGGGGAAGGGAGGGAGAAAGAAAGGGAGAAGAAACATTAATGTGTGGTTGCCCCTCATGTGCCCCCCTCTGGGGACCTGGCCAGCAACCCAGGCATGTGCCCTGACTGGGAATCTAACCAGTGATGACCCTTTGGTTCACAGGCCAGCACTCAATCCACTGAGCCACACCAACCAGGGCACCACATCACATTTTAGGTGAAATGTTCAAATCACTGTCCATCTTGTGTGAGACATTCACATACCCTACCAACCACATTCAAGCAAGCCTTACTTCTGCTAGACCCTGTATATATTCATATATATACATTTATATATGAATTTTTGATCCAAAATATGTATCATTAAATCCAAGGTAAATTAAATTGACCTTATCCCAGGGAACTGTTACAGAAAAAGAGGCTACGGGAGGTTTCTCATGAGGGATGCTATATCAGGTCACATTCTTTGAAAACTGAGGCAGGAGATCCTGGCCTCGATGTTGACTGCAGGCACATGAAAACCAAGGCAGACAAAACTTCCTCTCCTCTGCAGTGGATGTATGCAAGTTTCTAGACCAGTGATTTTCAACTGGTGTGCCACAAGGATTTTTAAAACATGCAATATCTGACTATTTAATCAGGGGCACTGACCTCTTTTCCCTTAGGTTGTCAAATAAAAAAATGACAACATCCAACACAACAATAGCTATCCAGTGTGAATGAATCAAAATTATATGCTTTTTTGGTCAGATTGGCAATATTTTTCGGTGTGTCACAGAATTTTAGTAATCAGTTTATGTGTGCCATGAGATGACAAAGGTTGAAAATCGCTGCTGTGGACTAAAGCTATGTCAGGTGTTGCCTAGGAATCAATTCATTCAAGTCCTCCAATGGAATAATTCCCAGATATTTAGCAAAATAGCTTAAGGTCTGGTCCATACAAACACAATCAAAAATGAATATTGGATAATTAGTTAACAGAATAAACATAGACCACAGATTTACATCATTCAGGTTCTGAGATGATTTTTAACTTACTCCCCTTTTTAAAAATTGTTATGTTTTTTATCAAGTTCAGTACTATAAGAACACTGACAGATAAGATAAATGTTAGTAAATACTGTGAAAAGATATAAAGAAATTATATCTTTTTCACTTTAGTACAGAGTCCACAAAGAAATAATGAAGTACAATTATTTTAATTATTTCCTATTTTTAGTCACATAACTGCATACTTATTGTAACATTTGCATACTTACAGCCATTTGTAAATGCATTTGCACTGCAAGTAGAGAGGCCATATCTGGAATCCTAAATGAGCATCAGCACCTGAGAAAGCCCATTCAACCCTATGTATACAACCAGCTCTGTGACCTGGGCAACCCTATGGAACTTTTCAAATTCAGTGTCTTCATCTGTAGAAAGTGATAATATCATTTGAGTTTACTATGTTAAAGTTTTCTTGTGTGATTCTATACAGCAAATACCTTCAATAGCTATTTTGTTATTTATTTTGTTAAAGCTGCAGTAATATTGAGAACCAAATCAGGCTTAGATATTTACTTCATATAAACTTAAGTTGGACTCAATCATTTCTGAGGGAAATTACCATGGATGAATGGTACAAACACTGGGAATATGAAACAGCAAGTCGTCTTATTGTAAAAGAATAAATTACTGCAACAACAGTGTTCAATAGACAGCAATGTACTTGGTAAACTCACTTAGTATTCTGAACTTTATTGTAAGGCCTGGAGAATCAGAGGGACCAGGGAAGTGCTCATGCATTTCATCACCCCCTCTGAGGGTACCTGCTCTCTCTGGTTTGCCATACAGTCACCAGATAGTAATGGCAGACACATTTGTTTAGATTACCCATGATGCCCCTGATGTTTCAAGGAAACAAGAGCACCTTCTCCAGATGTACCTGTACCTGGTCATTGCTAAAATGTTATACTGCTAACTTTCATGCCCTTGTAAGTATAAAACTATTAATCTCTAAATTGCCAGACAGTATAGTAAAAAATGTTATCCTATGGAAAATTACAGACCTCATAACCAACAACATGCAAACTCATTGCTACAGTCATAAAACAAACACTCTTTTTTAAAAAAGAAGAGGAACAATACTCTAAGACATAAGAAACTTAGGTCATTTATTTTATGAGGGAAGAAAGGGAAATATTAAAAAAAAGAAACATGACATCATAATTTTCCTCACAATATAAACCTTAGAATAGTGTGCTTATCAAAGTTAAGAATCATAGCCAATAACCTTTTTAGAAAATAGTTTGAATATACTGAGTAGCACACTATACAAATCAAAGGAAACTTGAAAGAGGAAGTCAGTCATTTTAAATTGAATAGTAAAAACTATACATTGAGTCCACATTCATGCAAAAAGTATGCCTGCATCTCAGATGAAGCCAGAGAGTGCAAACTTACTTTTACACACATATTGTGAAGTTTCCAAACTGCCAAATGGATGAATAACAGCATCAAATAGATAAGGAAAGGCAACTGGACAATATCGGGAGGGCTGGAGATGACAGGCCTCAGGAAAGCCTGTTCCTTTCATGGAAGCTGCCCTAGGCCAGCTACTCCCTCTGTCCAATTCTCACCTGTATTGGACCATTCGTGGACAGAAGTCTTGTTCTCTCTAACCTCTGCCAGAGGCATTCATTCTGTAGATTTCAGAGTTTACCCACTAGTGCTTCAACTGCCAGGAGTTCAACTTTCTACCAAGCATGTACAAAGCAGGAAGCACGAGTCACTTGGAGCTAGATGCACAAGAATGGGAGAGAGCTGGTACCTGTTAAAGCTACAGAGGACAGGCAGCAAGCAACACCTGGACTAAGGTATAATGCCTAAGAAAAGATTATGATATTTTTACCGTGAAATATTTCTGACAAAAAGAAGTCAGAAGACTAATATAATAAACATCTGCTCACCCACCACTCTGATTTAATTTCTGGATCTGTAAATGAACTTTAAATATTCTAATATTAATTTGTATACACTTTTTAAATGTATCAGTCTTGCTAGAGGTTGGTTTATTATAATCTCCAAGAAAGCAAATTTTGGTTTATCGATTCCCACTAAATTAAATTACATTTAATCTACTTTTATGATCATTATTTCTTGCTTTCTACATTGAATTTGCAACATTATTCTTTTGCTAACTTACTATTTTTCTTAAATGAAATTTCAATCTTTTATTTTAACATAGCCTTTTTAAGGCTATATTTTTTCCTCTAAATTCTGCTTTAGTTACATGCCACAAGTTTTATTGTCATAAATATTTTACAGTTTCATGATATCATCATTTATCTACAAATTATTAGAAAACTTACTTTGACATTTTATATTTCTAATTTGATTACATCATGTTCAAATCATGTAATGTTTACATTAATTTGGGGGAATTTGACTTCCACTGTGCTTTAATATACAATCAATTTTCACAAATGTCTTATGTTTTAAAAAATACCGAAGCTCCTACTTTTGAGGTACAGAGTTCAGGTATGTCAAGTAGGTCAAGAATTTTAATTGTATTATTCAAATCTATATTCTTATTTTTTTCCAAATTAGATGTGAAGTAATCATCTATTACTATTGTGTGTATCTCCTTATAATTTTGCCAATGTTTGCTTTCTATGTTGGTTACATAAATTCATTGTTTTACATACACTTCTAGGAAATGATGCCTTTTGGCATTAAGTCATGACCTTTCCTATGTTTTCCATCTTTTTTATGTGTTCTATTTTCATTTTTCTAGATATAGTTTTTATTTATTCAATCAGCTTATATATTTTACTTTATATATTTTTTTATACTTTACAAATATCTATAGGTTTCATTTATAGTGTCTTCATTTTCTCATCTCAAGTCCATGGTATTCTATCTATCTATCTATCTATCTATCTATCTATCTATCATCTTCCTTATGATAGTGATTTCCTCACTCTCACTGGTCTGTAAATTCTTACTGGGAGCTAATTTTCAGCAAGAATTGTTTGACCTGCACTTTAGAAATAACTATGACACAATAGTTACATGTTTACTTTTGCAGGACCAGTTTTATTGTTAATTTCTTGGCTTGGGCTTCCTGCAGTAAACATGAGTGTAAATTTGGACCAAAACCCACAAATGTGCTCACCTATTTCTAATTTCTCTCTCCTCTCCTAATACAACACAACTCAAGATCACATATAGCAAACAAGCTCCCTTGCCATTTTTCCAGGCAAGTGGAGTTTTCCCAGTCCTATTTCTATGGTTTGGGCTACATATGGAGGCTCAACTCCAACTCCTAGCTGTA